CAAGTCTGAAGAGACAGTCCCAGGCAGAGTAGGCCTTATATTTATACCTCTGTGGTGGAACCTGCTAGAACATCTTGCTTACTCAGCCTAGTCAGGTGATCAGGTCATATGACCAAGGATGAGGTCATATGAGGTCATGCACAGCCATGCACAGCAGGTCACCTGACCATCCAATCCTTCCAGCAGGTTCCAGCACATGCCAAGGTATACCAGCTACTTCCATGTCATAAAGGCTTAGTCATGTCTCTTGACCAACCAATGAGCTGGTGCCCTGACAGAGATAGAGTAGAAGTCCCAGTAGAATTCAGCAAATTCACCCTTCATCTTAATCCAGCATTGCCACTTGTGAACACAGTCATCGAGGTCTGAGTTGCATACCAGTGTTCATTATTCACTGCGCCAGGATAGTACTTCATTATTTTGGTCTTGAAATCCTTGTACAAGTCCCTTTTTGCATCTTCCATGCCATCATGGATCTGTGCCCATAATTCATAGGTGTCATTGTCAGTGTAAAAATGGGCTCAATTGATCTTGTCTCCTCTACCAGTGACAGTAGGTTTGCACAAGCTGAATAGTTTTTCCAGAGCTTCAAAATAACAGGTGATGCCAAGAGGTGTGGGAGAAAAGTGGGGAGCTGAGGGAGACTCCCTACCCATAGGCATAGTGCGTTTGCTAGCCATGAGGAGTTGTCAGACTGTGTCCACTATATTGGTGTTACTCTGACTGGAAGCAGATGATACTTCTGTGTCATCTGAAATTGTGGGTGTTTCTTGGAGCATGGTACATCAGGCTTGCCATTCATCCCTAAGCTTGTTCTGTTGGTCTATGACAGTGGTGGATACTGGAGTACAGGAAGCCAGTATCAAAAATAGGAGGAGGAGGAGGAGTTCTTGCCTCAGCAGCTGTTATCTGTTAAAAGCTGCCTCACATTGGGCTCCAATATGATCCAACCCAAGAGGTGTCCAAAATATTGGTCTGATGGGTGGTGAGTGAGAACTTGCTAGAAAGGAAGAGGAAAGTTGGTAGAAACTGTGGGAGTCAAGCCTGTAGCTGAGCTGCCAGAAGTCAGTTGGTAATAATTTGGAGGTCAGTCTCTGTCCAGTCAAGTACATCCAGTTGAGTCAAATACACTAAGTTGATATGATGCTGCCTATCCAGTAAGGGGATAATTGGATCTGTACAACACTAACAGAAAAGGGGCAGAATAAGCTAGATACAGGAGTTTCTGGAAACTACTTATACTAGCTACTATAAACTGAAGTCTATACTAAACCAGTCTCTGGATACCTCTCCAAGGCAGGTGTTGGCATGCCAAATATCTGGGTGGTCCTGTCATATGGGAAACCTTGCAGTCATCATGCTGAATATCCAGGGGGGTCAAGACTTGTTGCTGGGGCACATTATCCACATACTGAGGGTCCATAGTGCTGTGCAACAGTCTCTAAGGCCCAAAAATAGCCGTGGGAATACCGGCCTGACACACCCCACTGGAGGTGGGGTTGTTCAGTGCTTGGTGTTCGATTTCAGTATGTTTGTACGCAACGCATGGTCATTCGAGATATCATATTTGGTATATGTGGAGAATTGTACGATGTGGTCGGGGTGTGGTTGAAATCCCCTCGACCAGACCTCTCTGGCTCACTCCCTATCTGATCCCATCGGACGGTCTTTACTTGTGCCGCTCCGCCCGGAGAATATCTTCCACCCTTTCGCACTGCTTGCCCTTGAAAAGATCGCTCATCTGTCTCAATGCTTTTGCAAAAGACTCGTGCACCTGGAGGAAGTCCGTATTCCGTGTTCGCCCACGTTCCTCATGGGTTAGAACGGCTCCAAAACGCTTATACGCCGCAAACGGGTCGGCGTGCATGCCGGCCACAAGCTGGATGGCCGCTTGAACACTTGGACTGCTGAAATGCTCCAATAATTTGTTATAGAAGTTTAAGCGGCTCTAGAAGACCGTAGCTCGGCGAAGCGGATCAGCATCGAAGAGCTGTTCCCGATGTGTCCTTTGCTGGCAGGCCTGGGCAAACAATGCGTCCCTTACCGATCGCTCGCCTGACGTGTCATCATCAATCACCAGGGAATTATACAACAGGAAGATAGCGATCCACAATATTGATTCGAGGTCGTGTCCAGCGTTATGTCGCAATGGAATGATCCGGTTCTGACTCGAAATCGTGAGAACAGATATGTCCTCCAGGTCTCGGAATTGATATTCGCCTATTATCAGCTCTATCGCCATAAAATCGGGAGTTCCCTGGGATGTGCAGTTATTAACGAGCCTGACGACGACAGTGTCAACGACAGCTTACAGTCCGCGCGTGGTGCCCATCTTCGTCACGCATATGCTCTTTCGCAAATTCCAGATCACTCAGTCGCCCTCGCCCCTCCTTTTTGTCGACGATGATATTGCCTGGAGAAAGATCCCGACGATTGAATCCGGCAACGCACATCATTTTGCACGCTGCAAAGCTTGTCAGCCCCACACAAAGAAATTCTGCAAAGACGACACCGACCCTGAACGACATCAGCCAGCGCTTTGAATGCGACATCTAACCTCTCAATGTGATGTAAAGGTTCCCCAATGTTGTCCGTCACGGTTCGATAATGGACACGGTGGTGGATCTCGGGCGAAATCGGCGAAATCGGCACAACCGGCTTGATCGTCGCTGTCTGCAACAGTTTCTTTCGGCCAAGGACCGCTTCGGAGTTTTGGGCACTCGGACAATCCAGTGCACCCGACCTGTCGTTCGTTCCAGTCTGCACAATAAGATCCGTCTTGATCCAACACGTTCCTTCCGGCAGCTCTCTGCCAGCCATGATTCGTGCTGTATCATCAGGGCCATAATTGAGAATCGTCACTTCTTCATCGCTACTAATGTTGACGAAATAGTTCTCAGCCTTCTCGCCGGAGGGGAGTTTCAATTCTGCAGGACTTCTCTTTTCGATGTCCTTGATTGCCTTCATTACCCGATCGTAGATCTTCCGTTCAGGCTCTCGATGCTCGTCCCGCCAAACTTCTTTGATTGCCACCCTCTTAGCCTTCTCCAGATCTGTGATATCCGTATCTTTGGGCCGAGTGGCATCGTGATTGACGAGCCATGCTTCATAGACCCGGCACGCACTCCCGTGCAACGCGCGCGCTCGGTGATCCGCGATTGGGGTTTTTCGAACTTGGTACCTCTTCCTGTCAATGATGATGAGGAAGAAGTCTGCGTCTTTCGGGATCATAGTTGGGTCCAGACCGAGTGCGGTCTCATCTGCGAATGCGAAGAAGGCAAACGCCCGGAAGACGCTTTTCCGCTCCTGTCATTCCAGTCAACGCTAGTCGCGCGCGATGCGATAAGTTCGCTCTCTTGAACTCGTACGCGGAAAAGAGATCGACCCACCTGTAACGGTCCTTCTTTCAGTCGATAATGAGAGAGTTATCCTTTGGATTCGTTCCATCTGGTCTGCTCGAATTCTCCTTCGCGGTGGACTTGGGTGTACGTGTCGGTCGAAGCAGAAGAGGTCGCGCCTGGGTGTTTCCCGGGGGCAGCCCGCAATTCTCGACGATGGCCTTGTGAAGAGCACCGTAAGCTTGGAAAACATCATCTTCCTTACCCACAAGCGTCGATGCTTTATCTTTCGTGGCTAGGTGTGGAAGGTCATCCCACTCCTTACCCATGAGAAATGGATGGCTGTCCGGCAGCTGCTCTACGAGTCTTGCAGCCCATTGGGGCAGGGGTAAGATCGCCTCCATGCGTTCGTTCGAAATACAGAGCAGATAGGTCGATTCAAAAATGACATTTCGCTTGCCTTCAAGGTCGGAGGTGTTGAATTTGCGCGTCGATGTGGCCTTCGCCTTGCCCGGTGTGGTACTAGGTGCCTGTGAAGGGGCGCTGCTTTGACGAGGGGGGGTCTGTGGATTGTGAGCCATGTCGAGGGAAGTGAGAGCGGTAAGCACAGAGACAACCCACCATCCTTCGATGTATTTATCTCCATTGGTCCGCTGGCCCCCGCCTTTTCTCTGGTGCGCGCGCCTGACCTGGAAGCAACAAAAAGGTCACGGCGGCACAGAAGCTGCCTTCTGACGCCACGTAACCTCCGACAAGCACAATACGCCAATGTCGTCCAGTTTAAGGGTGTTTAGAATAACAATCCTCCGTAAATGAGTTTTCAATTGCTTTTGTGTGTCCGAGAAGAGTGCTGGACAGTGGTGTACGACGTGTCGTGGTGCACTGCCACTCCATGGTTAACTCTACCGCCGAGTTCCCGAGAAACTCCTTCGGGCGGAAGGGCCGACTAACCGAGTCTGGTGTGGCGCGGATCTATCACAAGCACATGCAGCATGTTTTTCATCTTGAACCATACCACCCCTGCATGAAGACTGTTGTGCAATCTTCTCAGTGACACAATGGCCCCAAAAGTATTGCAGACCTGAGACTACTGTTGTGCTTGCCTTCTAATCTAAGCCATTACCTCAGATATACTATGGTCATCATCAAGGTGGACATTTGCAGACCCGCATAGCATTAGGGGTCCCAGCTATCCACCAAAGGCAGCCATAGTCATTACTGGACAAGGGTCATTAGCATTGAATTTTACTTGTGTTTCTACTCTGAGTGAAGAGTCTGATGCAGTTTTGCTATTTAATGCACTTTGCTTCCATGTTGATCGGTGGGGTTGTCTTGTGAATTCGAGTGCTTTCTTATCCATCTTTCATGCACTAATAACGATAAATGATTAATCACATACCACAGATCAAGAAATGAGGGTATCCTGACTAGATACATGTGTGATTAATTCGTGCTGAGAATTCGTTCAATGAATCAGAATAAAGTCCACAGAAAGTTCGTGAAGGCAAAGTCCATCAACCAGAATCACAAAGAAGAAAACGAGCTGCGGGTCGAAGGAGTGTCCTATGAGAAGTGCGTAGATGCCACATCGCTAAGCACTGCTGTTCACTCCGTAAAGACTTGCTGGTTGTCGGAAGCTGTACATTGCCAGGTCTGAACGGCCTGGTCGCTGCCATAAGGACTTCCTGGAGCTGGCCCGCTCTCCTTGGTCACATCGAGACACATCGTACCACCGGTAATGGCAATGCGATTGTCATCCGTGTAATACCAGGTCTGTTGCATCAGACCATCGTAGCATTGCCAAACCTTCATGCCGATTCCGTTCCTGTTAATGAGATAGACGGTCAACGCTCATTATAAGGAGGCAACGAAGACAGCAACGTACGCGGGGCTGGTACCAGCATCAAGACAATAGTTCGTGCCTGCCAGACGAACAGACCCGGAGCCACGAGCAATGCTCCAGAGTTGCATGGGATAGTAGGGGCTGGAGGATGCGAAGCAATCCGAGCTGACATACCACAGTCAATCAATACGTCGCGACGAGCATAAGAAAGAGCTAACATTTGGACGACCTGGCCATTGTAAGGATTATTGGATGCGACAGTCAAGCAACGCGTTGTATCGCCGTTTGCTGGTAAGACAATGATAAACAGACATTCCCTCAATGTACAAAACAAGAGACGCACGATGAAGGACATTTCCAGTAGGCGCAGGACCCGCAGACGAGGACGAGGAAGTGCTCGTAGAGGTAGTTGTGCTTGAGGTTGGAGGCGTGGCCAGCGCATACCAGATCTGATTGGTGTTGTATGCGGTACACTGGTACGTCTGGGGACCAGTCGGACCCTCGTCCAGGCACTGATCACCACCGGTGATCGCAATACGATTGTCACTAGTCTCAGTCCATTGTTGCTGGGTCAGACCAGGATAGCAGGTCCAGATCTTCATTGGAACGTTGTTGTGAGGTCCTGCACAGCATATTGATTAGCAGCTATTCAGTACGGTTTCCAACGGAAATGATATTCACCAACGCCGGCATCCAGGCAGTAGTTCGTCCCGTCAAGACGGACCAGACCGTCGCCTGGGCTGATATCCCACTTGTTTGCGCTCGCACATGGCACAGTTACGACAGGTGTACCATCGCCCGCAGAACCGGAGATAGCGAGGCACTGAGAAAAACATCAGAAATAACATGGGAATGCATGCAAATCCCAGCTCACCTGGCCATTCCGGTATGATTGTATGTATCGGGGCGGTCCGGGGGTTGGAGTCGACGTAGTGGTAGATGAAGTCGAGGTAGACGTATGCGTAGTGGTCGTTGGTCCAGACGGCCCAACAGGCATTGAATTGCAGTTCCAAGAGCTCTGGACGCAAGAAAAATCTGGGTCAGGCACAACATCCTCTCCAGAGAGCTGAGACATACATCCTGATTGCCGTACGACGTCGTCCACTGATATGGCTGAAGCCCTCCCAAACATTCGGCGACGGTACCGAAGGTGTATCCAGCGTTCTTTAGCAGGTTGATAGCATAAGGAAGAACGTCGTCTGCACTGGTCTCGTATGTCTCGTGATTCAGAGCGAGGAGATTGCTTGGATGGGAGGCCACAGTGTTGGCATAGTCGGCTTCGGATTCGGAAACCGATGAGCCAGTGGAGTCACCGTCACTGAGGAACTCCTGTTAGAACGGGAAAGGAAGTATGCGGCACTAAACATACTCGAAGTCCCACATCACGGCGGACATACCATGATCCGCAATGACTTGAAGAGCGAGATCGTTATACGATCCATACGGCTGCGAACGGAGTCAGCGACACCTCGCTTACGTGATATCTGAACATACCGGGCGCATGAACGCTGGCTGAACACCGATAATCCTTTGCAGCGCGACTACAAAACTCTAGTCAGGCTTGAGATGTGTAGGTAGAGATACAGGAACATACGCTCGACTCCGTAGAGCTCATTAGAAATCTGGTGATCAAGTCAGCTTCACTCTGATGAATAAGTCAAAACGGCGAACACGCACTGATTGGTAGTTGAGTGTTGTCAAGTCCGTGTGATCCCATGTATGATCACCGTACATGTGCCCGGCCTCGTGAGCACTCCTGATCTGATCGATGTAGTTGTAGATGCAATCGTAATTCATCCCGTTCACGAAGAAAGTCTGTCCAGACGTACAGTTGAGTGTGGGCTTTACAGTGGGATAGAGAGCGTACTCCATGGATACCAGCGGCGTTAAGCTTGCCGACGATGTCTGCCTCATAGATCCAAGGCCCATCATCGAAAGCTGATGCACACTTGTAAACCAACTATGCAAACCTCGGAAATACAGACTCACTCAGCGCGACCATATTGGGCTGGACGCAGTTCGAGTAGACCGTGGCTTCCGCCCGTCCGGTGAGGGGAAGCTTGCGGGCATTCAATCGTGGAGTTATCGGTATTGCTGCGGCGAGCGACGCCGCACATAAAAGAGTTGATGCCAGGAAATGCATCCTGTATTGGAGTTGAAAGGAAAATTATGCGATTGTAGGAGATACGAGGTGGTCAAGGAATGGGCGGCCAGCCTTTTATTATACCGGGCAGGCAGGTTCCGGATATGCTTGGCCGCATGACCCGGAAAAGTCACACCTTGTTGATGTTCAGACGTGCGTAACAAGAGGTGGATGTTGTCCGTTGTGAACGGGGTAATGAACAGATGACCTTTCCGGCGCTGAACCTGAGCGCTTGCCGCAGCGATTGGGACCCTGATTACGGCTTCCGTCCCGCTTCCCCATGAAAACCGGGCTTCCATTCGAACGGCACCAGGAACGTAAGAAGGGCTTGGCACGGCCAGTATACACAAGTTCGCACCAGACGGAATATTAATGTTCTTGGGTGATCAGAATAGGCGCGTGCCACAACTCCATCCACGCTGATGCTTTCTTCAACTTCCAAGATGCTGCATTCCCTTCTCTCGAGTCAATATGGGCATGGGTCAAATTACTGCGACAACTTACCAGTTTGTTGATATGTACAACAGCATCTCTCATAGACAACGGAATTCATGCTGACCAACCCACGATGAGAACCAGCTTATGACATGGAGGATGGCATTTTCTGACCTTCTATGCCGAACATGCTGTGCCTGCCGAACCGGGGGATCTCGCGCCGGATCTCCGGGGCATGCGGCCTTTGACAAGCCACTCCAAACGGATCTCCGGTATTATCGGCGTCACTCGGATTAAAAGCCAATATTGTGACTCGCCCGCCTTCATGTGGTGGATCGGAAGGACAGAACCGGCTTTCAAGTTTGTCTGGGCCGCCCCCCACGTGACAAACACTTGGATCCGAGTCGTTTGTACTCTGTACCAAAACGTCGGCGAACTACAAACGGCAACAACAACATCGCAGGGTGAGTGTGAGGAGGGCGGAGAAAAGGAGGAGTGGGTGGTTGTCAATGTAATAAGGGAAAGTCGTTATCAGCAGATGACCTCTCTTGGCAACAGCAGGAGTATACACAGCCACTAAGTGATGACATTCTCATACCTGCACACTGATAAGGACAGTGCACTTGGATCAGAAACAAACTGTAACTTGACCTGACATCCACATGATACAATGAGGTATCCTGCCAATGTTCATACAGAATGCACATCTGCATAATATCGAAATCCAGGATATATTGTGATGGCTGTAATGCGATGAGTTCAGACGCGACAGTCCGCTCTATCCGTTCGTCGCGCAATAGAGATCATGCCGATCAACGTTCTACACGATCTGGACAGCGGTGGGGACGTTCGCTGACCGAATCTCTGTACAGTCGGTCAGATATCTCCACACGAGAACAAATGGAACGCGCCTTTGCGCACGTTTCCACGCATCCAGCCAAGAGCTGTACACACTGCATTCCTGCTTTCCCCTCTAGGCAGGGAGAATGGCGAACTCCTTGATCGTATGTATGAAATAACATCTGTGATGAGATGAGTCGCGCGATCTCCAGGTGGACAGGGTTTCGGTGCACCTGAGACGCATGGGCTCAGTCCATTTCTGAACTGGAATATAATGCGTTCGTTCTGGTCCCGCACCGCGCTACGCCTCCTCTTGATGCCGTAAGGGATGGTAGGTTCAGACATTTTCAGAGAGCAGCGGGTGCATGTCGGGGTAAGGAAGACGTTGATCAAGCTGATGTTGATAGACTTCTGGAGGGCGATTGCGAAAAGGCGGGAGTGATCACGTGAGAGCCACTCCGGAAGCAGTTGTGCTGAGATGCTGTCACTCCAATATTCTCTCGTCTGACGATGCCGCGAATCAGAACACTTTTCCCGAGCCGTCGCACTTCATTCTTGCCTCTCCCTCCTGCGTTCGGACCTCCAGGTGATATCCTCTCTTCACCACCTCATGATCTCACTTGGCTCACTCTGCTTACAGAACCCTTGAGGCCTATCGACTCTCTATCGGCCAAGGATGACTCTCATCCTTCTTTTCCTTGGCCTCCCACGCGTCGTTATTTCTCGATTGGATCTATATGGGAGGTAAAGTCAGAGCATAAGACCAGCCATCAAACAAACAATAGTACATGCAAGTGACAGCTTCTACAACAACAAGACGACAGACAAAATACAGAATTACAAAATAGTCATCACCCCGCCTCCTGGCGGCTCGACGGCCCGGCCTGCATTGCCTTCCGCCGTTCGGCCGCCGCTGCCGCTTGACGCCTCTGAATTTCTCGCTGCATCTCTTCTTCAGCATCGATGTCCACTTCTATGACGCTACCGTCATGCGGCACTTCCGCCAGGTGTGGGAACACTATGGCCATCATATCGTCGGTCCTGCGTACATGTATGATCAGATGTCGGCACCGAACGCGAGAGGTCGGACAAACTTTGCCATAAAGTCACCCTTGCCTTTCGGTCCCTTTCTAGGCGAGTTACGCAAACCTTCATCCCCCAACTCGCTCATATTCAGCGTTCCTCGTGCATGCCCCTTGGTGTAGATCGACACGCCTTTCCTTGCTGCTAGGTCTAGCACGCCTTTTTCGACAGTATCAATCGCATAGTAGCAATAGACCTCAGTGTTCCGTGTCTGACCCATTCGGTCGACCCGGCCGATAGCTAACTCCGTCAGCCGCATCTTTCAGAGGTAGAGGAAGTCTCACCCTGCACCTCAAACGCATGATTCACCACGGGCTCCAGAAGAAAGACCCGATTCGCGCACGTCACATTTAAACCTGCGTTCTCCCGCTCGCCGTGGAGTAGTAGGACACGACACACCGGGTCGAGTCTAAACTCACGCGCTGCATTTCGCCCTGCTTCGACGCGGATGCACGAGATGTCGTTCTCCTGCAACGCACGGGCGATAACTAGCTATCCACTTAGACAGGGAAAGAAAGCGACGAGAAAACGTACTGTTAAGCGAGTCCATCCACGCAGAAAAGACTATCGATTTGGCCTCAGGCTCCTTCTTCTTCAGGTATAACAAATGTTTCACAAGTGCCTGCACCTTGCTGCCATAGTTCCCATGCGCCTCTATGTCGTCTATTTCGCGTAGTAGCTCTAGATCCATCACGTTATAGTCGATGTGGGCGCCTTCAGGCTCGACAAGCTCTTCTCCCTCGTCTACCTTCTCCCCCGCGTGGAAGACAATTCTATGAATCGTTTGCTTGGACAATGGTTGGCGGCAGACGGGACAAAACTTGGTCCCGCGTTTCTTCAGCCAGGCATTCAGGCAATCCTGCCAAACAAATGAAGGAGCTGCACATATACCCACAGACTAAGCATACCTCGCAGTAAATGTGTCCGCAAGCCGTCAAGCATCCGTTTTCGAATCCACACGCGCAGAGAACACATTCCCTCGTTTCCGTGTTGTCCATACCTAGTGCTTCGTTCGTCTGCCCCTCATCCATGTATTCCAAATAGCGCTGCTTGGCTTGTAGTGTACGCAATGTGTCGTCGAACTTGTGAACCTTCTCCTCCGCTTCGCGGATCGCTTCCGCGAGCGATTGGACCCCAAGCTCCTTCACGTCAAAGTCCATTACTGAGTCCGACAGCTCTTGAAGTTGACGGAAATATACGATACGGCCATTGAAGGCTTGTCGAAAGATCGCCAGTTCCGACTCTAGGCGACTGCATAGTACGTCTGCGTCGCCGTCACTAAAGCACTCTTCCTTGTCATATAGGATGATGCGAACCTTGATCAGTCACGATCCTCCTCAGTCTCATTGCTTCACTCCTCAGAATGACGCCTTCCATCTCCTTGTCGTGACGATCAGCCAATCCACTCATCTCGGGGAAGACGTTCTGGCCTAGATCAGCCTAGGTGAACTCCGTCTGGACTGAAGCAATCTACCTTCAAGGATCTCTTCGAATGTGCATCTCGCATGCTCCTTCTTTCATCCGTCAATTGCCTCATCAATACTTCGTTCTGGGGTTCCATTGCGGCGGGTGCCCCAGACAAGGTATTTTCAAGACCTGCATTCAGAGCGGCTCGAGTATCACGAGCCTTCTTCTCCCGTGATTCGTGAACCGCAAGGATAGTTCGCTCCTGTGAAAGCGCCTCCTTGCGGTCGGCGAGCAGGGCAGCATACACGACTATATAGGCTTCTGCTTCGCCTTGGGCATCAAGAGCATGCGTGTATTCTTCCCCGCTTGCCTCTTCACCTTCAGCAGTCGTGAGCTTCTGGGTCAGTCGAGTATAAATCATCTACAGCCAAGTCAACAGATAATCCGCACGCATAGCATGTACCACGTACGCCGCGCCACTTCCATAATAACTCACGCTGGTCATTCAGGAGTTCGATAATGTCATTGGCTTCATCGAACTAGCTCGAGTCAACACGTGAAAGTATCATCTGAAGATGATCGTACCAACAGACCGGCCCGCAGTCCCGGTTTACCGCACAGTTCAACCTCTAGTTCTCGTTCGTTCACACCCTTCTCCGCCACCTCGTGCGTAAGCTTGTACATTGCGCGGAGTGCTAGGTCCTCCGTGTCTGCGCAAGAATTAGACCTCGACGCATACTCGTGTGGGTTGTTGGCTCACTCTTCAGCACGGCACGACGCACGGTCTCGGCGTCAGCGTACGCTGCATCCTCCTCTTGCTTAGCCACCTTGTGGTACAAATCACCGAGGGAAAAAAATACTGTTGCATCAAATAAGCGTCATGATCCAATCATAAGTGAGATGAACGTGCTCTTGTGCTGCAGGACAAAACACTCCCTGATGCGAACATGGGAGGTTTTGACCCTGTTCTCCTTATGCACTCCTCTGCCCTTGCTCTCTTCTGCGGTTTCTTCGTCATGCGCCCACTCGTCGTCGTCGTCCGTCTCATACCCATCTGGCTCCACATCCTTGCCCTTTCGCTTGGCAGGGCGAGATCCATCTTCAAGCAAATAGCTATCCGAGAGACCGTTGGCCTTCTCCCTCGCAGCCTTGCGCTCCGCTCGAGCGGCGAAAATCTGCACGTCAAGAATGCCTTTGACTTCGTCCACAAGAGATTGAACGTCGGACTTGAGGGCAAGAAAGAGCTCCAAGGACTGTTTCCATCGGGCAGCATTGGACTCGTCGAGCTGCAGCATAAGGGCGAGTCTGACTCGATGTGCGAGCTACAACGGTATGTGAATCAGTCATGATGAACAAGGATGCTGGCACGCACTCTATCGCGCTTCTCATTGAGAATAATCTGCCGATTCTGATACCGCATGAGCTCCAACACTTCCCCAATCGTCCTCAAAGCACCGCCAAGTACGCGGTCATTTCTGTGCATTTGACCAATCTGCGGATGCGTACAGCTCTGTCGTAATCGGAGCAGCCAAGTGCGAAGTTGAGAAACCTCGAGCTCGCCGCTTCCGCCAAGAGCATTTCCGAGTGAATCGACACCCAAGGCACTGTAGGCTGAATCAAGGAGATCGTTATAGAGCTGCGAGGCTATTAGTGTGCTGGACATCTGCCTACATCGATTTGTCACTCACATGTCGTTCCACGGGCCCCAACTCAACCGGCACCAGATACCGACGTTGCGGTGGGATCGTTAACTCGTCTGCAACCTTCTTCTTGAGCGTCCGTATCCCGATACGTTGAAAGAGCTCTTGAAAATGAGGCGCGAAAGCAGGTTTTAGCAGTCTCGTCCAGAGACGAGGAGAGTCGGAAAGGATGGGCACGCGCAGGAACCTGCACGAGAACCTATTAGCTATTGCGCGATAACGGGACATTAATATGGATGTTCGCACTTGAGGACTTGAAACAGATCACGGATCTCGTCATCCACCGGTGTGCCTGATATAGCAACTGACGACCGCCTCGGAATCAAGCTGACCACCGATGCAGCCTTGCCGTCCCCCTGCTGCTGAACCTCGTCCATGACCACGCGCCACCATTCGACGCTGACCAGTGGGCTGCGTATGACTGCGTCTGCCCCCTCGGGATGAGTGTACACAGCCGTGTCCCGTTTTGGCCGAGGCTTGCGTGGCTGGGATACATAGAACTCTTTCCGGATGTCATCATACGTCGTTAGGACGATGTCGTATTTGTGGGTTGCAGTCGCCCAGGTAGAAAGAAACGTATCGTCATCTGGATGGTACTGGTATTGATCCTCTGAACAAGCGACAATATAAAAACTCACCATTCTCCTTCTCCTCTTCATCTTTCGTTCCCTTGGTCCTGCCTCCAGACCTCCTTTCCTTTCCGACGCCCTCGATCTCCTTCTTCCATCCCTTATATACCAACACCTTCAACTCCGGCGCATGGAGTGCGATCTCGTCCGCCCATTGTTGCTGCAAACTCGCAGGGCTTACGATCAGCGTTGTCCCGACTTCGCGCACGCGCGTCTCGCGTGCTTCTCCTGAGAGGTCGTACACCATCTGGGCACGCACAGTTTCGGGGCCTCTGCTGACAGGAGGAGGGGAGAGAAGGATGAGCGCAAGACACTCAAGTGTCTTCCCCAGGCCCATTTCCTCGCTGAGCATGCCACCGATGATGCCGTCTGCCCCAGCGCGAATGGCGAGGTCGGACGGTGGGGAAGGGAGGAGACTACCCATGAGGGGGGAGAACCATAGTTCCTTTTCCGCAGGAACAAATGGGCTCAGGGCACGCTGATAGAGGAAGCATGCGTCCTCCACTGGCGGTATTGAGGAGCCATGGGACGTAGGGGGAAGGAGGACCCCTTCTCGCTGGAGGAGCCACGCCACGGACCTGCGTTGAAAGGGAAGAAGATTCGCATCTAGCTTTTCCGGTTGATAGCGTGCCTCCTCCCCTTCGGGAAGGTCAGGTGCTGGCCCCAGCAGCTCGTAGAACCAGTGGATGTTTGTCGAGCCGGGATAGTTGGGGGGTCCAGGGGGAGGGGAAAACACGTGTGACAGAAGAAGGCGCTGGGCTTCTTGTGCCGGAAGAGGGAGCGACCCGGGGTCGGAGAGCATAGAGGGTAGGATATCGAGGGATACAGAGAGGTAGAACTGGACCCCGAGAGGAGCTTGCTTTCCTCGCCAGGTAGTGATGACGGCGTTATCTGCGAGCAAGATGGCATGTATGCGCACGCGCGGCTCGGGAAGACCGCACAGGTGAAGGGCAGCGTGCAGGATGGAGGAAGAAGAAGAGTACACGGGGATAGGAAAGTCCCAGTCCTCTGCTTCTCCCCCGAATGGCACAGGCGGCTTGAAAGTGAACATTGGCAAGGTCTCGCGTTTGTCATTGATGCGCCCATGCACATGTAGATTCGTCCCCCAAGGGCGTAGGTTGACATGTCCTAGCTCGATAGGACCGCTTGAAGACGGGGTATGATGAAGTAACCGCTGAATGAGCGCGATGAGGCCCTCTTCATCCTTGTGAAGCGTGTTCAGCGAGCACAACTTGTGCAACTTGGAGGAGGGGGAGAAATTTGCCGCCTCAGTACCGCAAACAAGCTTGAGGTTGACTTGGAGAAGGAGGGTAAACATTGGCTTGGTCGGCGCAGGCTCTGCTGCAACTGCGTGTACAGCGTCGTTGGACGTGTGCTGGTGCTCGTTTGTGACAGGGTCGGGAGTATTGTCGTCCATTGAAATATCTGGCACAGATTCGGTAATAATAATATCTTCTATGTCGTTCACCACCGCGACAGGAGGGGCGGCCTTGCCAGAATTGCGTTTCGCTTTCTTCCTCGACGAACGTGAGTCACCACCTCCCTCTCTCTGCCTTTTCGTCCCTCTCGCGCCGTTTCCCTTTCCCATCAACTTGACAAACCTATTCCTCTTATCCGCTTTCTCTTCTGAAATGTCCTTATACGAGCCATCGATAAACTTCGTGAGGAGAGGAATGTCGAGGAACCGGCGGACAGCGCGAGACTGCTCTATGCACGCCTCGCGATCGAGGGGGCGGACGTCGATTGTATGTGTGCTCTCTTGCCATATGAGCGGGACCACCATTTCCCGTTGTCTATGTGGATATTCTCTAATACGGAGTGAAGAAGTTGATGAGGAAGCTAGGATGTCGGAGAACTGGAGAGAACCTAGGGACGTGGTCGTCTGCTCATGAGGTGACTGTAATGACGGCTCGTGCACGTGCACTAGATTAGCGCCCATGACTCGGGTATTCTTTCAACTTATTTTTATTCTCAAAGGAATAAATAAATCTCCACATACGTCGTATTTGATCTTTCCATGTTCACACACGAGTACTTCAGCTCTCTGAGTATACACGAGATGAGTAGTATGTAGGTGTTATCACGCCGACTCCCCTCGGGAGGCTGTGCTGTGATGACATAAGCTTACCTAAGAACATTTTAGTCCCGTTTGGGCTGAAAAAAAAACACACACAGACATCATTCATCTCTCCACTCTCTCAACGCCCTCCATCATGTCACGGCTCATAGTGAAGAACTTGCCTGTATACATAACTGATCAGCGTCTACGTGACCATTTCTCTCAACAACCTTTTATATCCCGCCACGCAGGTCCCGGTGGGTACACTCTCACCGACGCACGCATTGCCCGCAAACCCGATGGCACCAGCAGGAAGTTTGGTTTTGTCGGTTACAAGACGAGAGAGGAAGCCGATCGGGCGAGAGAGTGGTGGAATAGGACGTACATCGATAGTACTCGGATTACTGTTGAGGTCGTAGAGGAGGTTCGTGCTTCCCGTTCACTTTTGGTCAACACGCTGACCCTTTTCGTAGAACCACGAACCGCGCAAACGCAGAGCTGGCGACGAGAACGACCCCCCTCCCCGAACCACGGCCAACGGAGACAAAAATTTGGCTGCCAAGCACGAGTCGAAGAAAGACACTCAGAAGGACAAGTTCGTCAATGCTATGACCTCCAAGTCCACTACACGCACATGGGCAGACGATCTTCTCCCCCCTCCAGAGCCGACAAACATGGAGAAATTAAGGACGGTGGACAGTGTTACTGTGACTAGTGAAGAGAACAAAAACGCGCAGGCTGACGGAGAGCCCACCACAGAGGGGTTGAGCGACATGGAGTGGATGCGACGACGGATGACCAAAACGCTAGATGCGGATGCAGAATGGAAGGGATTCGAGCAGTCCGACGACGAGGACGGTGCTGCTGACCAGCCAAATTCCGGAGCGATCGGTGTTCAGGAACAATCGAGCAAGGAAGCAGAAAGGCACCAGACTGCAGAGACAATCCTCTCCACCGGCCGCTTGTTTCTTCGAAACCTGGCTTACACATGCACCAGCGCCGAGCTGCAGGAGCATTTCTCTCGGTTCGGGGAAATTCAACAGGTGAGCTTAATATTCTTGTTTGCGCATGGTGCGCTTTCCCGGCGTGTCGTCTGACACTGGGCGGCCTAAGGGCTAAACAAGCACAAAGTGATGAAAATTCTCACAGGGACAGCAGAGCTTCGGCGGTGCTGAGTACCTGGGAAAACAATTAGCGTAGACTTCTGATTCTCTCTCCTTCGCAATCTTCTTCCTTAATAATGTACTGAGCGCTCCGACCCAGGTGCACCTTCCCCTCACACCATCCCGCACACCATCCGGTCTCGCATTTATTACGTTCGCTGATCCCTCCTGCGCGCTCGCAGCCTATGAAGCCCTCGACACGTCTCCCTTCCAAGGTCGCCTTCTCCACATCCTCGGGGCAGTAGACAAGCGCCCAGCCGCCTCCGTCACCTCAGCTCCCAAATCACTCAAAGACAAGAAACTCGACGAGCGCAAGAAGTCCAGCGGCCACGGCTGGGACTGGGCTATGTTATATCTCAATCCCGATGCGGTCGCCGCGGCCGTCGCTGGCAAGCTCGGGGTGGAGAAGAGCGAAATTCTCAATGCTGAGGAGGGCAATGCAGCCGTCAAGCTCGCACTAGCCGAGACATCAGTCGTGCAGGAGACGAAGCTCTTCCTCGAAAGCAATGGGGTCGACATTTCTGCGTTCTCTGGTCGGCCACAGCGCTCACCAACCACGATCCTCGTGAAGAATCTGCCTGCGTTCACCACTCCCCAAGCGATTCGCGAGCTCTTCCAGCCACACGGAAAACTGAAGAGTGTCGTTGTCCCCCCTAGTGGAGCGATCGCCCTTGTAGAATTTGACGATGAGAGTGAGGCTGGTGTTGCCTGGCGGAACGTGAACTACAGGCGATTTGGAGGGAGCATCATCTATCTCGAGCGGGGTCCGGTTGGGCTCTGGAAGCCGAGCGGAGCTGCCGCAACCGCCAAAGGAACCGGTCCAGAGCGAGAGGATCGTGTTATCGTACTTCCTGAAGACGAACAACCCCCAGAAGCCGCCCCGGGCTCTACACTGTACATCAAGAATCTCTCCTTTACAACTGCCTCCTCTACTCTCTCCTCGCTTTTCTCCACTCTGCCAGGGTTCGTCTACGCTCGTGTGCAAACCAAGCCGAACCCGAAAGATCCTGCAGGGAGGCTCCGCATGGGCTATGGCTTCGCAGGATTTGGAAGCAGAGAGCAGGCGGAGAGGGCGAGGAAGGCTATGGACGGAGCGACGTGTGAGGGGCATAAACTCAGTGTGCGCTTTGCTGGCCGTGGCAAGGAAGAAGACGAGCAACCTGCTGGTCCTGTTGGAGTGTTCGCCCTCGGAAATAAGAAGACCGCCAAGGTGATCGTCAAGAACGTACCTTTCGAAGCGACGAAGGCGGACATCCGATCGCTATTCCAGGGATACGGTCAGCTCAAATCCGTCCGCCTGCCGACAAAGTTTGACCGCCGCACGCGTGGCTTCGCATTCCTTGAGTTCGTCAGCCGGAAGGAGGCGGAGAATGTGATGGCTGCCCTTAAACATACCCATTTGCTTGGGAGGCATTTGGTGCTTGACTGGGCTGATGACGAGCAGGGGATGGACAACCTCAGAGAAAGGACTAAACGCGCATTCGGGGATGGGAAGGAGGTTCCTACCAAGAGAAGAAAACTGAACATTGCAGAGGATATGGAAGAGGACGGTGAGGACTGATGGTCTCGTATTGTTGTTGCGTTTTCTGTTTCTATCTCGATGATCATGTATGTTCTGTTAGGTGGTTTTGATCAATGTACAGACTATCAAGCACTGCATTTGAAGGGCTCCTGTCCCCGGCAGATTGAGATCACCCCTCTGCCTCACCAGCGGAGCCACTTCAATCACAACGTGAAAACGCGGTACCAAACCCCTGCCGACCGTCGGTCTATTGTGCAAAATGTTGCATCTGTGACAATCTGATCGCTTCTCCTTAGGCTATGTACATTGTCAAGTGCGACTCTCTGCTTAGACATGATCCCCGAAAGTCGCGCGTGGCCCGGCACCGCCTTGATAACTGACAACATGCGCCTAGCCCGGAGATCCTGTGCGCACCTCGCCTACTGATAATCTCGTTTTAGGCGACATGGGTTTAGTGCCCGTTGTATTCAGAGCTGGAACACGAAAGGCTCTCATGCCGTCTGAGGTATTCTGGTTCGTTGACCGGTATTGGACTAGTAGAGCATACACGCCCACCAATGCCGCTTCACAGCGCGTGTGACTTCCCAGCTTCGCTCGTTGTTGAACCATCAGAAGATAAATGGCGTCAATGCACAATTCTGTGCTGTGTTGATATCACTGATCGGATGGATCATACCCTCCGCTACTATCCACAATAAAGCGTGACGGACACGTATGAGCATGCCGCCGCTCTGTCCCCTTGCATTGCGATTCCAGCCAGCATATCCATACAGATGTCGACCTTGGCACTCACACCAGGCGTTACCAGCGAGGCCTTTCCGTATGTATGTAGTGAACGTGAGTGTCCTTCGTTCCGAGAGACTCATGGTCTGATCCTGGATGTAGTGGCAGCAGCAGCGCTGTTCACTTATGATATTTTGATCTGCCTGGACGAGGAGGTACATGCGTTTGGCATATGCAGATGTGTGTTATTGACTGTGATTGTAGATCACGCATGTATGGTGGTAAGGTCAAGGACGCCCTGGGGGGGCTTAATTGAGAGCTTCTACCAGGTCACCACGGAGCATTCCCAAGACACTCTTCATGGTGTCACGGTACGTAGGACTTGCAGTCATTGGGTGAGCGATATGATTTCGTGAGAGCTTCTTTCTGAGCAAAGCCGAGCAGAACCATGCCAGTCAGTGAGTGTCGTCATATGAGCTAGCTGAGCCGCTTACTTACGATTCAAAGTCGCGTTCTACGCCGACCCATCTGCAGCGTAAGGGAAAACACTGATTGAGGTAGCTTGTTCTGAATGTTCTGGAACAGTTGTCGAGCGTATCTACCAGTACAGTTCCTGTGAGTAAGGACAATCAGTCCACGACGTGGTTGTTTCACTATTGCTGCTCTAGTGTTCTGCAAGCTGTCGCCTTCTGCTGTGATGGATTACTGCTCATGCGAGTTGCGGCTGTCTTCAATCACAAGAGATGGCGTAACTACTTCACGTGCATTAGTCAAGTATCGTTAGCTAATATTTACTAGTATGCAGAACTCTGTACGGCCTCTACACCTGTAAGCTGCATATTACTCCATGAGATGAATGTGCTGAAACCCATAGCAGTGGCTTATCTGGTTCGTTCCCACAGTTTGTAGTGTATACGTCTCACATAATGCCTTCCAGATCGAGAGCGCGATCGCCATTCTCAACTTTGTAACTTCGCTGAAGGCGACGCCTGTGCCGGATGAATGGGACTGCATTATCACACGACACGCATCGGGAGGCAACCTACTGGATACTATCGTAACGTAAGCTGTTGCAGTGTCCTTCTCGGTTCGTTGATCTGATCTTCTGAAAAGATTGCCTATTCTTATATTCAACCGTATGACTCGAACCGCCCCTACTTCATTATTGCACTGAGACCTGCGTTCAGTCATTCTGTTCACTCTCACGGTGATACATCTATCGCCGTACTGGCGAGCTCGTGAGAAGAATCAAACGCACATCTTGACATTGATCTTGGAAGAGGGCACGATCTATTTCGCTATGTAGGAGACTTACCCTGCATGCCCAGAATTCTGGCTGATCGTCCGATACAGTGTCTGTGGTGAGCTCACCTGAACCGCTTAATCTTATCATCGATTTGATTCATGAATTGCAGCCGCGCTATTGGCAGAAACCATCGTTCCTTTACTCCTTACGGATGATCTCGGTGTAGCGTAAGCCTTCTGAAGCAAACCCCATCAATGCAGCTCACATGTCACTCTCGTTTAGCTGGCTGGCCTTAATCCCGATCGCGGTGAGTGCTCATTTCTACAGCTCGACAACATTTCGCTCATATTTTCTAGTCAAACCGGCTGTTTCTTAGCCTAAGAGCGGCTGCAAGCGGATCCCTCAATTCGGGCGACGATACCAATCCAGTCTCATACACTCCCGCGAGTGCCCTGGTAGTCCGTCCCTCTGGAGGGTCAGAACAGACCACCGGCCAATCCACCAGCAACGTGGTCCAACGCTTGAACACGGTGTCCTCCAGACTCTCGACAACGACTCCTTGGATGTAATATTGGATGGGTTCTGATGGGTTCTAACTTCTAAAGCGCACGATGAACTGCTGTAATATAACATGCTTTTGCTGAGCAATTCAACGGTGGGTCAACGCACTCAACGAAACTCCTTGATGTAACTCGTTTACTGCTTTCGACTGGTATGAGTACGATCAGCATCATCACCGATTCACAGGTTTGTTTTTTCCGTATCTGAAGAATAGCATCCTGGTTGTCACCAGACCCTATATAATATGTACGACTGGATCTGCCGGCCACCTCTGAACATTTGATCAGGAGGCCGTTGGTGTGAGTCTTGAACACCCCGCGGCGCGGGGCAACGAAGAGCAAGGCTTCACTCATTCGCTGCTTTCGCCTCAGCATCAGCGTCGGACGGCCCCTCCCTCATCCACTCAAAATACACAAACTGCGTAGTAACGCGCTGGTACCGTCCGCCAGAGCTCCTAGGCTCCTCAACCTACAGCTTCCCCATCGAAGTCTGGGGGGTGGGATGGATAATGGGTGAACTCTTCCTCAGGAGACCCATGTTCTGCGGGTCGTCGGATTTGAACCAGTTGGAAAGGATTTAGAGCTTGTGTGGGACGCCGGATGAGGGAGTTTGGCCCGGCTGCAGGGGGCTGCCCGGGGGCGAGGGGGTCAGGAGTTGGGTGAGGCAGGAGAGGGTGGCGAGGGCCCATTTTGAGCAGTGAGCGCGTTTCCTGCTTCTATTTCCTGTTTCCTCTCCGGCCGTCTGGTGTTGCCTTGGCCAAGACCTACGAGGCGGCGTGCACGATGGTTGGGTTGGTCGAAACCTGCACCTTTGCCTGCCATTTATGTACATGAGCGCCTGTGGTATGAAGCCGATGCCACGAGCCCATCAAGTTGATGATGTCAAAAGCGTCAATCCGGCCGTCCTCTCCTACACGACCGTATCCTGAGCCATGCCTCCTAGCTCTGGTCATTTCTTGACCTTGGTCGCTATCGTCGTCCAACTCCTCATCGGCCAAATCAACAGAATCCTCATCCAATTCCGCATGGTCACTGTAGTCGTCATCACCATCATCGTCCTGGTCGCTCCCTGTCCTGGGTGGGTGCACAAATCGGAATGGGGCGTTTTCGAGGATTATGTTCGTCACCCCATGATACTTCAAAAGCGCATAGCCCATTTGGTAATGGAGGAGTTTTGCCGAAGGCATCTGCGTTTTGGGATCGCGAGTAGAAGAGAAGCGGGCATCTGTGTTTGGAGGTAGCCTACGTTCATGGACGCGAGTAGGCAGCCCGCAGTACTGTACCGTATATCGAGCAGAGGGGAGCGCTTCGTGGCTGGCGTGGCTGGCGTCTTGGAGGAGGGAACGCGGTATGTCATCCATGTCAAGAATCTTATTTGGCGTCTATTGGTACAAGCGTAATGAGAAAGGGCATTGCAGCTTTGGTTTGAATGCGCTCACCTTCACAATGTAGCAAAATCCTCGACCAAACTTCGAATGGACTCCCTTGGCGGCGAATAATCCATTGACTGGTAAATCAGCGTCGTGCCGCTCCGATTGACCAATTTCGGTACGGTCGAATGTACCGTTCTCTCTTTCGCGGGTGTTATCGATATACTGTATGCACTGAGGATTGAACATGAGCATCAGCTTGAAATCCGAGCAGCGACGCCCTTACCTTTGACCCGTATGTGTGTGGCACGATGTGCATCGCATCACAATCCTCTTCTCCTTCTCCGGTAAATACACAGGCACCGTCCCGATTCTTGATCTTATTGGGGAAGTTCGTATCGCGAGGCTTGTCCGCTTTGAAGGTGTGATTGCCGTTCTGACGCCGAGAACGGCGCGTAGAAGACAATAGAGTACTTCGACCTTCCAAGTAGTGCATATCCACCACCTTTTGATCCATCTCTGCCATGCAGCAGATATGTCATTAGTCTGGGTTGGTGTATCGGATAGACATTGAGGACGTACCCACTCGAACACCATCTACCCGGTACTCCCACACGTCTCCCGCCTCAGGCTCTGCATTGCTGACATGATCATTTGAAGGTCCGGTACGAACGACTGAATGCTCTGCATTGCCGTGTTGTCCACAGATTGATGCTGCTACAAAGCAGAGGTACTTCTTCCGCTTGCCCTGCGCGGCATTGAAATATAGGACTGCGGTGGGAAGATTGATGACGATGGCTTGGTGTTCGATATAACCAACATTAAGCTGTACGTAGTCGGGAGCAGCTGGCAGAAGTTCTGGAGCGGGTGGATTGGAAGGCTGCGAAGAGATGGACATAGTACAGTTGCTGTCTTGCTTCGAACAGATATCTCGAGATTGAACAGATATCTCGAGATTAATCAGTTATTGGTGAATGAAGAGTAAAAACGCAGCGACGGAGGAGAGGCGCTTCCTGGTTCTCTTTTGAGCGCTCAAACACTGCCACTAAAGAAGCATCCAATGGCGGCGGATAAGAGCGGATTTCGGGCGACGATGTTAATCCAGTCTCATACACTCGCGAGTGCCCTGGTAGCAACAGTACGGGACAGCTACTCAGCTCTTGCAGATTGAGCGTGCTTGTAGTGAGAATAGCAGATAGCAAAGAAACCTGCTGATGGAAATCTTGCGTATAATCATGCACTGATGCGTATCTTATTCACCTGAATCTGAACATGTTGTTGACGTTACCTCTGTAACAGAGGACAAATGCGATATGGACTGTCTAGCTCTTGTTCACTACAAACGGCCCATTCCTACATTCAAATCCCAGGTTCGCTCCTCCGTCCGCAAAGTAGGTTGTGTTGCAAAAGGCATTGGGTGTACCCTTCCCATCGATAGGCATCAGATTCACGTTCTCCACCCTCACACTAGAGGCCGACCCAGGGAGCATCTGGAAGGTCACTGCCGGAGTATTGCTAATGCCCGCGATAGAGTACCAGCATGGAACGGTGATGCAGCTCCCGTCGCCGGGATACATGTCGTTAATGGTTCCTGTGACATTGATCCACGAGAAGTTGGTGATATTTGTCGCTTTGGTACCGGGACCGAAGTTGTCTGGCGTCAATCCGCGGTTTGTATTCTGATCGAAGTAAACAGAAGTAGCGAAAATGGGAAAAGTTGCGTTGAGCACGTAGATGTTGGACCAGGTAACGTTGTACACGTTGCCCGTACTGTTTAAGGAGGATTTGAAGCGCGTCGCATAGAGAAAGTTGCGGGAAGTGATGTTGTCAAAGTGAATGTTGACAATGTTGTTAGTGCCGGATAGGGAGGCCCCATGCCCGCCTTCACAGACCATATTGCGGATAGTGACGTTGTGGGCACCATTGTTGACAGCGACACAGTCGTCACCATTGAAAACATGATTGTTTTCCATGAGGATATTGTGCTCTCTTACGAAAGTGTCCCAACCTATATTTACGAAGACAGCCACCTCACCAATCGCTTTCCAAACCCCTATTTTGCATGCACGTATCAGGTGTCATTCAACGGTACAACATTCCAGACAATAGATTTCCAGAATGGCCTGTGTGAAACTCTCGCTTTTGATGGTGCCTTTAGCGTCCACGGGACTTTCCATGGCCAGTCAAACTTACATCTTGTTTGCTGGGAAACGAGGATACTAGTCCCTCTGTGTTCGTCCTACATCGTACGAAGTTACCTTCAACCCTGTGGATTCGGTTGCTCACAGCGAAATTAGTTGGGACGATGGGTGGCGGCCTTTACGTCTTCACATTTGATCCTAGTATACGATCAATGCATCAACATACACAGTATTATGTCTCTCCGAGATGCTACCAGAGCCCCTTATCAGCCAAGGACAATAGTCGAGCCATTGACTATACCTCTGCCTCATGCCGCCGAAGATGCGTCGTTGGCTGTCGAGCCAGATTCTGCGGACTCCTCGATCATGCTCTTGTGGCGAAACTCCTTCCGACTTTCAGCAATGCATCTGACTCTATCAGATGATTCTGATGGGTTCACTGGGTTCACGGCCACGTCGCTGTGGTCTTTCACCATCGATCGATCACAATATATATCTGCGGCCACAATCGATGCGACATCCCGGATGGCTTACTGGCTACAGCATGAGGTCGCTGTAGCTCGACAAGCTTGTAACGAAGGATCATCATCCATCACAGCGATGTCACTGAACATCGAGGCTGAAGAAGAGTCGCCGAGTTTGCTGATCTACGAGGGAGTGGTTGGGGATGTCACAACCCATTGCGAGTTCATTGCAGTAGACTCTCTACGACGACGACTTATTCTTGCACCTCGCGTCGCTAAACGAGGACTTCTCATTCAATCAGCCGTCCACACGGCCTTGAATGGTGATATCACGTGGAGGGGCAACCCGTCCGCCTGGACCTTGCCGGAGATCGTGAATAGCGGTGTCGGAGCTGGACAAAGCAACTTCATGGTCAGTACATGGTACGTTCACTGCAAGGTTTTGATTGAATAATGTATTTGAATAGGGATTGATCTATGGTATGCAATTGTTCCTAACACCATCGTTGACCCGATACCGGAATTGCCCTGTGCCCTGTGAAGCTCAGCAACTCCCTACTGGATTCATTTTCGAAGTGGATGACATAACTCCGATGTTTAACGCCGTTCCTTCAGGCACTCTCACTGCCCTAGTGCGCGGCTATGGGGTTCGCCAGTTCCCTACCATGTTTGCTTATTGCGTATCGGGTGATCAGACCCTTGCATCACATCCATCCAGTAACAAGGATCAGTGGATCATTTATCGCATTGCATCACGCGACTTGGAGGCCATCCAATTGCTGGAACCATACTCCACCGAGCTGCCTGAGAGCCAAGCATGGCAGTTAGAGATATACACCTTTTCGAAGGAGGCTGCGTCTGTTTGCGACCATTCTGCACGAGCTTGCCTCGATCAAGTCGTCACAATTTCAGCTGCACGGATGATGGTAGAGGAGGCCATTGGGAACGACTTGGAACTGCTGGATGCAGGAAACCCCATGTAACAAGCTGAAGCAAAGAGACGGCTTGGTATATGATAGGAAGAACTGCTATGCTACAACTGCTCTGCTCCTGTACTATGGTTCGAGGACATCGTGAAATTCAGACAATGTATGATCAAGAAAGAGATGCCTCACGGGTCGGCCGAACCCCTCCATTCTCCCATAGTTGCACCCCATATTTGAACCAGGCGACAGTGACGTTTTCCCCGTGTTTATTGACGCATGGGCCCGCCTGCTCATATATGCCACCATAGTATGCGTCATCTTCCTCGCAACTTCGGTTCCAGTCTTCTTCGGTGACTGCGAAGACAGATACTTTGATACACGGTTGGGATCAAATTGGACGTCAATTACTGGAATAGGCGGATGATCAGGCAAGCCCAGGGGCTGTCCTTCAGCAACTGGATGGATTGGAGTGCCAGAAATCAGAGCGTGTCTGAGAAGAGGGGAGCGCTCATAGATGGGGAATAAATCATCATAGGAGGGAAGGGAAGAATCGGATAGTGTGGGCGAGGCCCACGGACTGACATTGTCATCCGGGGGGGAGAGGACCATCTGGTCAGCATGGACAGCATGGTCAAATGAGGAGGAGGAGCGGCCAGGTCCAACCGTAGCACGCAAGTATGGAGTATGAGCAGGGGTGCTGGGTGTACCCAAAAGCACAGTACGAGCACTTGGTCTGCCGGCAGAACGTGCAGAGCTGCGGAAGCTAGAGACAGCCCTATTGCCACGTGGTGAAGTAGTGCAAGGCAGCTCCTCTATCAATTCTTGGGTGGTGTCGCCATGGCGCCCCCGACGGATCGTCATTGCGTCAAGTGTATCGATCTGGGTGCATGCTCTTTGACGGCAGTCATCCACAGCACTGTTACTTGCCATAATGCTGTTAAGCGAGGCAGGGGAGGTCATGAGGGTGTCACAGTCAATAGTATGATCGTATCCAAGGAGTTGACGATGGCTATGTGGCACGTGCCATGCTCATGGAAAGTCTAGGGGGCCGTGGTAAGTTGAAAAGCTGGGTTGGATAAACTAAGAAATGACCCACTCGGTTCATCATCTGAAGCACCCTTGGTTTGAAAGTCCATCTTCCTATTGAATGACGTGTACAACCTTGAAGAAGAGTTAGTGGGCATGGAGAAGGAAAACGAAGGAGGCTGACCAGTGGAGCTGATGCTGACAGAGATCACTTTCGACACAAAGAGAATAGTTTTGGTTATAACACACTATCAGCAAGTCCAATTGTTGCAGCAGTGGTGAGTGTCAGAGAGCAGAGGGAGAGGGAGAGATGATTTGAGTCGAACAGGCCGAGGGTCCCGCGATTCAATGTTGAAAGACGGGAATGGATCACAAGCGGGATTTCCTTTCCATATGATGTCCTTGGTGGACCGCTTCATGGTGATTTGTAAGAAAATGAGAGCAATAGGATGCACACGAAGTAATAATGTATGTTAGAAGTATTAATTACACTCGACACGACGACTTCCACGTCATTTTATGCCGTAGTGGCTGTGGGATCACTGTCTGCGCTTTCGAGGTCGTCGTCAGGGCGCGCGGCCATTGCCGTTGTTTGAACACTCTGCTCATCACCGAACGACTTGCACGCATATATACACCCATCCATGTACCATCGTCCATCAGCACCACAATCCTCTCGCTCTCCACCACCCCTCCATCATCCAATTCCAACCCATCCACATTACTCAATACCAGAACCCACCACCCCAGCCTCCTCGCCGCCTCAGCACCCCCAGCCTCCTCCCCCATCGCAAGGACAACAGCAAGGTGGGTATATGCGCTACACGAGCTCGCCAATGCAGCCCCAACAAGGGTTTGTTCCACCGCCCACTTTTGGAGGGCAGGCAGGTGGTTATCAGCCCCTCAATGGCGCGATGGGGTCGATGGGCGGGATGGGACCGATGGGCGGGATGAGCAACGTAGGAATGAGCGGGATGGGTCAGATGGGAGGAATGGGTCAACCCGGAATAGGCATGCAAAATATGGGTATTCCCCAAACGCAGCAACAAGGTGTACCGGGCATGCCAATGTGGGGGATGAACGACGCAACAGCAGCGATGGGAATGCAGTTTGGGCAGAGTGCGATGCGGGCAGGACAGGACTACATTGACAAAAATGTACGTCCTTTAGTCATCTGCTTGTGATTTAGATGCTGACTCGGTCTTCTCATGTTTAGCTCTCAATCCATATCCCAATTCCTCTCCTCCGACACCAGTTCAACGTGTCCAACTCGTACGTTCTGCACAAGCTGCGACTCCTAATTTTCCCCTGGCGACATCGGCCCTGGTCGCGCAAACCCAGACGAAGTGACTCGGGTGCCCAGGCAGACGGGTGGCAGCCTCCAAGAGAGGATGTGAACGCCCCTGATCTGTATATTCCATGTGCGTCTTTCCGTCTCTTCTTGCCCACGAATGGAAACCTGATTCGTACGACTTGTATATTTTCAGCGATGGCAGTAGTGACGTATATCCTTCTCAGTGCGCTACAAACGGGGCTACAATCCCGTTTCCACCCCGAAGTCCTCGGCATCGTCGCCTCTAAAGCACTTGCCGTGCTCGTGATCGAATTCATGAGCATTCAACTCGGGTGCTACCTGCTTAATATACAGGGTCAAGGGCAAGTAGTGGATCTGGTCGCATTTGGTGGGTACAAGTTCGTGGGGTACGTGTTCTGATACGCTGTCTTCCCTACTTCGTAGCTCATTGACCTACAGAGTGATATTCACGATGCTGGTCGGACTGCTGAATCTCGGACGGACGGTATACTGGCTGACGTTCCTATACGCCTTCTGTGCAACAGGGTTCTTCCTTGTGCGTATCCGCGTCGCCTTTTTTTCTGCTTGTACTCAATCACTTGCCAGCTCCGCTCTCTGCGTCAAGTCGTCCTTCCCGACACGTCCGCTTCACCGTCAAATGTGACTGTCACGAGCGCGCAAAGGGGAAGGCGTATTCAGTTCTTGTTCATCATCGCTGTCAGCCAGTTGTTGTATATGTGGATTCTTGCGTGGGTATGACGCTTGTCAAAGTTCGGAGTCGTCGCACTGGCGCGTAGATGATAAAATACAATGTGGCTACTTCTGCCGTTCTCTTTTCGATTCACACATCTCTCGAGTCTCTTGACTGTAGGAATCCCGTAGGTCACATTGTCCTGCAAGTGAATCACGTTCTATTTTATCTGGCGGAGATCTATGACGCGGAGGTGTTGAACATGAGCCTGATTCATTGTAAACGTACTCGCACCTCAACTTTCCGTAGACGGACAATGGAATGGGACTTTCTCGTTATGAGGAATCACGTGGATACTCCATCGCAGTGGTCAGATCTGGCAGCTGTGAGCGGCGGAGTGATTTGTCGAACCTCGGGAAGCGCTTGAGACAAGGCGGACACTGATGAGGTGTATGTTTCGCACATAACGCCGGATAACTTCTTTCGGAGCTCAGTCCACTCCAGCGTTGCCCTCGTCGTCTCATCCCAGAGTTCCTCCGATTCTGGCCAGCAACGCTTGAATGTTTGTCTAAAGAGCTCGCGTTGTTGCCTCTTATATCGCAACGTGTCGCTCGCCCCATAGTATGCGAGAAGATGGTATGCCATCCTTAGACCCCAATCTTTCCAAATAGCCTCACAGCCTTCTCGAATTACGTTGTGCCATCTGCGCCCAATGTTCCTCAGATGGTCGAGCTTCTTCGCAGCAATCGTCTTCCTATCGTCAGTGCCAGGCCCTCCAGTCCGCCGACGAAAACGAGATCGACGAGAACCCAATACTTGCTTTCGTCAGCGTATTGTAGTTCGTGGCCTTGAAACGGCATGCCGTCAGGGGTCCTCTTGCTGGACATCTCTAACAGCTCGATCGCCATGAAGATCTCCGTTCCTGTCCATTGTTTCGCGGTTGGTCCCGTCATTACGTCGCCTTGGGGGTGAAGGCGACCGCTATAGTCCCAGTCGACGATGACGCCCGAAAGAGCGGTGCCGGTATAAAGACATTTGATGTTGTCTAGAGACAAATCTCGAATTACGATCCTCGCACGACTTCGCATTTCGTCCATACCTAGAAGACTGTTAGCGGCAAGCGCCATGAAACAGAGGAGGAGACGGACAACGGAAGACAGGCCCTAAGATGGCCCTGACTTGATCACCGCTCGGCTCTTCCGGGAGCGGCGCATACTCTTGTACAATCGCCATCCGTAGCTCACGCGTTTCGAAGGATCCGCTCACCACGTTGGTAAAGTGGTCGATTTGGACGGTACACGTAGCGATGACGTGAGGCAGGCCTTCCCCGATTCCAGCTGTGGTGCCTTCCCACACCATTTCCCACTCATTTTCCAAGTATCGCTGCTGAAACCCCATCTTGATACACGTGACAACATTCAAACCGTCCACCGAGCATCTCTGCAGGGAAGTCCCATTGCTGCCGAGTGAGTACTTTTTCTGCCGGCCCGGCTCGACTGTGACTTGTATGGTGTTTGGTGAAATTTCTGTGGATAATGCATCGTCAAACTTCGTCCATTGAGTTGGAACAATCCGAGCATTTGAGTTGGCATGGTCGTCTAATACTGGACAAAGTGTACAATATCCGAGCTCTTCGGGAGTTGACTCGGCCAGTAGGTCAAGGAGGAGCATGAAGATCCCAAGGTTCTTTATGGTGTCGATTGATGTCGATACCAGGACACGTTCGCGGGTGAAGAGATACATGGTCAAATAATGACCAGTGAGGCACATCATGAAGATGAAGTGTCGAGCGTAGCCATCGCTCAGCGCTTGGACAACGTAGCTTGCAAGCTCAGTCTCGGGGTTGGTGGATGGGGAAGGATGAGGAATGAGGTTCGGCCGACGCCGCTTGTTTGGCATAATATCACCTCCTGAGCGATCCCGCTTGCGACTGGAAGGTAAAGTCGCGGACGAGTTCTCGAAATGTCCAAGTTGCGGGGTTGCTTGCGCAGGCGATCGTACTGATATCGAGGCACGTCCGGTCTCGAGATCTCGGACACCGACATTCGTTGTGTCCCTTCCCTCCGTATTTCCTGGTTGTAACAGGACCACAAGTTCCATGCGTTCGGGGTTGATCTCGTTGATGTCGATGTCGCCCATGACCATGGCTGCATGCGGCTTCGTGACGGTCTGATCTTCTTGAAGTGACCGGTTGGAACCAATTGCGATAAATTTATGCTTTGTATCCGGCCGTATCTTGCTCATGAGAACATTCGCAAACGCCACAAACTGCTTCTCACTGTTCATCCTCCCAGCCGCCTCTGCCCATGCGTCGAGTTTGCTCTGATAATCTTCATTTTCCTCCAGCTTGTCCATCACATTGATCAGGTGTGTGGATCGAGCTTCGAATGACAACAAGCGATTTCGTCTGAGGCATCTTAGGAAGGTGAGGTAGTTGACGCCGCGGGTCTCGGCTTCGACAAGATCGGAGTCGACTTCGTGACTTGGTGCGTCGTCTGATAAGCTTGTCGAGGTAGATTGATCTTCAGAGTTGTTGAGGAAGGGCATCATGTGAGAAGGGGGAAGTGAGAAAGAAGTACTGCTTTGTAAGGAGGGGGTTAAGTGTCGAGAGAAGGATTCAACAGGAAGAACGCATTTGGTCAATATGGACGGAAGCGTGCAAAACGTTGAGGCTTGAGGAGCGCTGGGAGCACAAGTGAACCATTGTCGGAGTTCCGCAACGTGTTAAGGCCCGAATGAGTTAAGAAAGCTGTCGTGTGACGGGTACGAGTTCACGGCGTATATCACCCGCTTCGGAGCAGTACTCAGTCAGGTTCGCGTGAGGGATTGATTGGTTTCGGGCGCTAATTGACGCGTCCCTTACCTGTGCAGTACTCATGCCCAACATTGGCGTTCCCCACATCTATCGAAACGACCTCAGATTGTTCTCCACCCTGATTCTCTGGCTGAATCGACACCGCGACCTCCGGAATGGCCTGGGCGGTGAAATCGCCCATAACCATGGCAACGCGCGTCTTCGTGATTGTCGAACTTGCAAGTGCCGTGCTCTCCGATCGCGAGGCTCAGCCGGTGGTCAAATTGCTCAGGTCATTTCAGGGGGAAGAGAGCGCCATATTACTTCCGTTACCTGGCACGTGATCAACACTGCGCATCCTTAGTGTTTCTGAAATGAATGCAACACTGCCATTCTGTGCTGTGAGTATACAGCCAACGGCGGATGTGGCGGTTTCGGCTTTGACAATATATACCTGTGTCACAATTACGGGTGACTGCCAAAACAGAGACGATTGTGGCGGTTACGCCCCTTGTATGGAAAGCCTAAGAGGACAGCTCCGCGTCGCACTTCAGACCCGCATTAGACTCACCCTAGACCCAGTTCTTTCCCCTCAGGGTACCATAATATACCTCCGTTTCAGACCCTGCTACTCACCAGCTATTGGTGTGCACTGCTCATTGACTAATCTTGTCATCATTGCCAGTTCCCAATATCTCTACCTTGTCCTTGACCACTTGGGCATCAGCACCCTCCATCTCAGTCTCCCACTGCCTTTCTTACCATCATGCTCCCTGACCATCCCCTCTGTTTCATCTCCACACCTCTCTCTTCTAGGTGCAGACTTTAGAGCTGTCAAGTGTCCTCTTGCCAATGTGTATCCAACATACCCTTGAATCCAGGTGCTTCCCTAGTTTGGCCAAGAGACACAAAGACTTCTCAAACAAGATGTTGGTCACCTCATTGTTTTGCCCAGCCAGCCAGGGACAGGATGACATCTCAAACAAGATGTCATCCATATCTTCATACATCTGGGCAGAAGACACAATGACATCTCATCTCAACTGAGATGTCATCCACATTGCCATTCCTCCCAGCAAGGGACCTGATGACATCTCAAACAAGATGCCATCAACCAATATACAGTCTTTTTATTTGACATGTTCAAGAAGTTTTTTCATTAGTTTAGAGTTAATCAACTGTTAGGGCAACACAGGCTGACTAAGTCTGCTCACCTAAGAGTGCCAAGAGTCTAAGCAGGCAACAAGGAAGTGGAGTAGACCTGATGACTAAGACCTATCTACAGTATAGGTATCTGTGGATGATCCTAAGAGACCAAGTCTGAAGAGACAGTCCCAGGCAGAGTAGGCCTTATATTT